ACGCCAAGCTCGTTGGCACTCTCGCCCCGCCCACAAGCTCTACCCACCCCACCCCAACTTCCGCGCATGCGAACAACTACCTCACATCCGGGAACTTGCCGAGAGGCGCGTGCGGCGACGTAACGCGCGCGGCGTGTCTCAGCGGAAGCGGGTGGTGCGTGGAGCGGATACTGGTAAGGGTTTCCCGCGCTTCTGGTCTAGGACTTGCCAGGCATTTGTTCTTGGGGAACGTCCTCCTCATCCCCCGGTGGCCGGTGTCGCTAGCCGTACTGTTCTACCACTGTCCGCACCTCTTGACTGGAAAGGGGCGTACGCGGTGCTCCAGAACCCCGCCTTCCTCTCGGCCGCCACCTTGGCTAATATCCGCGCTGGCACCGGAAGCCGCGCCTCGGGGGGCGGGACTTCCCGTTTGGTTGTCTAGGTGGGTGTTTACGGAGCCGGGAGGTGGCAGGTGGGGGGGACGTGACCTAGTTTCGAGGTCAGGCAATTAGTGGGACAGGTTCCGTAACTGGGGACTGCTCACCGTGCTCGAGGTGATAGCGGGAGGAAGCGCCCTGTTTTTATACTGATTTGAGGATTAGCCGAAATGACAGCAGTGTTAGAACATTCCTGGCATTGGAGCGAACACAATATTTGTCACCGAGACGCCAGGGAAAAGATGGTTGGTTATTCAGGAAAATTTACAAGAGTACGGAGAATACTTGTTCAGTGCGACCGACGTTGTGATGGGTCGGAAAACCAGCGGGTTTCAGAGGCTGGAAATCGCACGGGAGGCAATTGCTCATCTTCCTCCTGCAGAGCAGACGGTGGATTTGAACCGCATGCCTTTAGGTTGGCAGTGACATTTCTTAACCACTATGAACTTTGGTAAATGTCGATCATTATGGAAAGGCTCCAGGCCGTTTTGTTCATAGGGCCGCTATGAGTCATGCTGATTCAAGGCTATCAACAAGAAGATACAGAGATAAGGATGGACGTGAAAAGGATGACAGAAAAAGAATTGATGCCTTTGAGCTGTGGCGTTGGAGAAGAGCACTGAACATCCCATGGACAGCCAAGAGAACAGACAGATATATATGTCTTGGAGAGGGTGCAGCCCCAGTGCTCTTTGGAGGCAAGAATGATGGGCTTCGCCTCACAAAATGTAGACATGCTGCTAGGAGGGGCTGTTCCGTGGAGAGGGACATGATGCTGGGAAGGATGGAGGGTCAGGGAAGGAGAGGAAGACCTTCCCCCAGATGGATTGACACAATGACTGCTGTAATGGGCTCTTGTGTGTCAGGAAGTGTGAAGATGGTGTAGGATAGGACTGATTTCAGACCTTCTGTTCATAGGGCCACTATGGGTCTAAAATGATACAGTGTGCTGTGTCCTAAAACCAAAACAAGTCAATACCAACTTCCAGGACAGAATACAGCTGCCCCACGGAGCTGTGCTGATTAAGGACTTCCACATGTTTCAACTTTTTGATTGGCTGCCAGGTGCTGCTTTTACCTCTGCACCCTCGGTGATCCTAGATATGCGTATGTTTACGCTTTCCACCTCAGTTGGCCCGTAGCTGACCCTCCGGGTTTTCAGAGGTAGTCTGCTCAAGAGGACATTGTCCATCCTTCTCCCACAAAGCAGCTCCTTACCACTAACCTACGCAAAAGCTGGCAAGTGTGACAAGATCTGGCTGTCAGGAAGAGATTGAACTCAAATTGGGGAAAGCTGTGATGATGATGTTGTTATGTGTCGTCAGTCACTTGCGACACAGAGACCCTAACGTACAGTAGCCCTGAACGTGCTCTATCCTGTGACAGCTTGACTCTCTCTGACACACTTACCCTCATTACCCCAGTCACTGAGTCAATCCATCTCATCAAGGATCATCTTCTAACACTGACCTTCTATCCTTCCAAGCATGGTGTCCCTCTCTGAGGACTGGTCCCTCCTTGTAACATATCCGGAGTATGTCAGAGAAAGCCTTAGAATCCTGGCCTCTGAGGACCAGCCTGATTTCACTGTCTCCAGCTATGATATGGAGTCTTTAATACAAAATTTTCTGCAGACAATCAGTGACTACAGGCTTCTCTGTAGATTGCATCTCAGCATCCAGAAAATAGAAATTCTCACCACTGGACTGATAGGCAACATCATGATAGATGGAGAAAAAGTTGAAACTGTCAATGATTTCATTTTACTTGGACCCAAAATCAACACCTTTGGCACCAGGAGACCTATTGCACTGAGGAAGCCTGCATTCAGCGACCTCTCCAAATTATGGAGGAGCAGTGTTGTAAGTTTGAGGACTAAGGTGCACCTGACTTAGGCACAGGTCTTTTCAGTAAGTAGCTATGCATCTGAGACCTGGACGGTGAATAAAGATGACAGAAGAAGAATTGATGTCTTTGAGCTGTGGTGTTGGAGAACAGTGCTCATTTTCCCATGGACTGCTAAAAGAAAAAACAAATCTTGGAGGCAAAGGTGGTAAAACTTCATCTCATATACTTTGGAAACGTCTCTAGGAGAGTCTTACTTCTTGGAGAAAGACATCATGCATGATGGAGGGTCAGCAAAAGAGGGGAGTAACCTCAGCCAGGTGGATTGACACAGTGACCGCAGCAGTGGACTCAAGTGTGTCAGAGATTATGAGGATGGCACAGGATAGGACAAGCTTCAGATCTCTTGTGCATACTCTGTGGCACCTAACAACATACTAAGGAGTCCTTAATACACAATCTGCATGTAACAACTGGAAAAAATAAAACCTTGGTGCACATCTAACTTGTCTACTAAATCATGAACACAAAAAGCACACAGACACCAGATGCTCTGCCGGGGAAGGAGGGACAAATTCCTCCTGTACCAGTCAGATCTGATTTGATGGAGCACTCACACAAAAATAATCAAAAATATAAAAATTCCATTACAATCACAATTAAAATTTTTTCAAATTATTTTAAAATAAAAAATATATATAAAAAAATTTAAAAAAAGCACACAGAAGGAAGAGAAACTTGAGTGTTTTAAGAATCCCCTCCTCTCCTCAAAAGATGGAATCTGTAGACTTGGACAAATCAGTTGTGAAATCAGTGGGGAGGGTGGAGAGCCGAGAGGTCAGAGGGGGTGGTGCAGGATGAGGGAGAACTCCATCATTTTAACAAACCAAGGTTGAAAACCTCTTGTATACAGATAACCTAAACATAAGCTCTTCAAACTTGATTTACCTTCTCCACTGGGTAGTATTCTGGAGTGAGTATTGAACAGGGAATTTACCTGTCTGACAGTTGATATCCACCAGAGACTCCAAAGGAGAAAGGAGGTAGGCAGTCTCCTCCTGTGTAATTGACAAGCCTCTTTAACCCTACTGGAGGGTCAGCTATGCATCGATTCCTACTCTAGGGCAGTGAGAGTTTAATTACTGAAACATTGAGACATTCGTTGTTTACTGGTAGCCGAAGTAGTGCTGGGTACTTTTTGCTTCATACTTCTACTAAGATATTTACAGGAGTAAAAGCTGCTCCCTCTCCAGCCTCTGTAAATTTTGACCCCTTGTTGGGGACCTAAAATATGAAGGAGTCCCATTCTGTCCTTAAAAAAATCATTCCTGTATGAGTCTCTAGGAACCATAAGTAACTAGAATGCATTTGGTGCAAGTGGCCCCCAGAAAGAGGGCATGTCTGTAGCAGGGAAACAGCAGTAGAGCGTAGTGCTTTGTTCCAGGAGGCGATGTGAGGAATCAAGTATGCTGGAGGAGCTAAGATCATGGCAGACCTCCAGACACCATGGCACGGTGACAGCTGGCAGCACAGTGACTGACTGCACGGGACCAGGGTCGGGACAGCTGGCGTGGAGGCAAGGACCATGAGACTCTGTCTCGTACCTTAGCCATGTTAAGAGGGAGCAGTCCTCTAGTAAGGACATCATGCTTGGAAAGGTGAAGGGTCAACATAAGAGAGGGGAGGACCCTCAGCAAGATAGACTGACATGATAACACCAAGCTCAAGTATGTTGGAGGGAGGATTGTACAGGACAGAGCAAGATCACACCATTCTTAGGGTCTTGGGTCACATTTGACTTGACAGCACATAAGAAGGAGCTAAGTAGGTGTCCCAGCCCCTTGAGCCAGGAGGAGGAGAATAATAAAAATGAGGGAAGGAACGTCACGTAGAAGCAGTAACTGTGGGGCCACCTGGGGTCCCGCCGTGTTGTTCACCTGGAGAGGTTCTTTCGGAGCTCACTCAAGTTCTCTTTAAAGAACAGCTGGCCTCTCCTTTGAGGATTGATGTCAGAACTGGTCAAAACTGGACATAGATCAGTTTTTCAGTTACCTCCTGTGTCATGAGAGCGCCAAGGCTGGAGCCAAAGCAGGGGGAGACTTATCAATGTTGTGGAGGCAAAGAGCCCTGGTAGTGACACGGTTAAAGTGTTTGGCTCCTGACTAGCAGGTCTGAAGCTACCAGCTATTCCGTGGGCTTTCAAAAGATGAGCATTCAGCTTCCATAAAGATTTACAGCCCTAAAGACCCCATGGCGTAGTTCTCTCTTCTGTAAGGTCATCTGCAGGTCATCTCTGGCAGGGGTGGCTGGTGGTGGTGCAGGAAATGTGTGAGGGGCTCAGGAGGGTTTTGCAGAGTTACAGCGCAGGAACTCCTCAAAGGCATCCTGATGAGAGTAAAGTGACTGTGTATTTACCATGTCCACTGTTCTCTTAAAGAAGATCGTCCAGTATGGGGCCCAGGTTTTCACACTGTGCACCTGGTTTTCCCTCCTCCATCACCCTCCCAGATGGGGTATGTCTGTCCAGAATACACTGTTAAAGCATCCATCAGCTAGTGCTGTGCCATGGCCTCATGACTAAATTGTTACCCAACCCATGTTGGAGAAAGTGAGGTGACACTCGAGAAAATGAGAACTCCAGGGAGTCTTGGTACTGGATTGCACCATCTCCTCAGTCTTCATGTCTTAAGAAATCTCCACTTTGGCTTTCAGCTCTGACAAGATCAAAGCAGCTGGAGAATGGACAGTGAGGTACAGAGGGATGGGAGGATCCTGGATTTGATTGACGATGCTTGGCGAGAAGACAAGCTGCCCTATGAAGATGTTGCAATACCTCTGGTAGGTCCTGATTTCTGCAGAGCATGAAGGTGTGTCGAGGTTGAAGGGGTGGCCTGTCAGGCCCTAGCTGAGATAATTCATGGATAGATAAACTAATAAAGCAGGGAGCTCAAACCTTTGGGATTCTCTAGCTATGGAAGCCTCTGGAGAAGGTCTAGCATGACCTTTTCTTAGATGTGAAATGTGCCTGAGAGAGGTAAAGTGACCAGCTCAGTTATGTCCCATGTCAGCCCTGGAACTTGTGTCTTTAGACTCACGTTCATTGCAGCACATCAAAGCTCAAGGTGAACTAAAAAGTGAGGTGATGGGTAAGATTGTTGTTACGTGCCTTCAAGTCGGAACCAACCCATAGCTGACCCTCCAGCAGGTCTTCAGAGGGATTAAATCGCACTGGAGGAGATTGTCCATCTTCCCCCGCAGAGCAGCTGCAGGATTCAAACCGTGTACCTCTGCATCATTCCCGATCACTAAGCCCCCAGGCGGGTAGGGTAGGGAAGGATAATTCCCTGCCTGTGTGGTTTATTAGTCTGTTACCATTATTAGAAATGCACATACATTCTTGCTTCCCTGGAATATATTCAGCAGATCACCTGGCTTCTACATTTGGACCAGCAGGCTCCTGAAATACTCTTCTTCCCTGATCTCCCAGACACTCTCCCCTGGCGTGCTGGCAGCAGGCTGCGTCTTTGCGGATAGCCGCACAGTTAGTGAGTTGGCAGCTACAGGCTGTGTGTCATGTTATGCAGGGTCCAACCCAGACTCCACAGAGCTGCCTCGGGGTTCCAGAAGCAGTGTGTGAGGAAATGGCAAAGCCTGGAGAGACACACAGTTCAGAAGTGACACTCTGGCACTGCCACTACAGTCTCTTGACCAAAGCAGGTGACACAGCCAGTCCAAAGTCCAGGTGAGGCCAGAGACCCTGCTTTGGAGGAGCTGCTGAGGATGCTGGCGTGTTTACAATCCACATGTGCATCACCTAACTCCCATGATACAACCTGCGAAGTAGAACGTTTCTGTGGCTTGGATATTTCACGAGCACCGCATCAAAACCTCGTGGAGCCACTTCCGATTGTACCTGCCACTGCTGCTGCTGCTGCTGAAGCCAGTGGTAAAGGCCAGAAGAACGTGGATTAACAGCAGTAGAGGTCAGGAGACAGAAGATGCAAAAATCCGCTCGCCTGAGCTAGAGGAACAGCCCAGGCTTGGCAGCCGCACTGCCACGGATCCTGCCTGCTGTCCAGACAAAGCCCACAGTCTGTGCCCAGAGCCGTGTCCTGTCTCCCACACATTGTCCAGTCCTAGGGGCTGGATGTGAGGTCTTGAAAACCACTGAAGACCAGTAATGTAAGGAATGCCGCATTCCCTTAAAAGAAAAAAAAATACCCACTGGGACCACAGACATTAAGTAATTAATGTTCCTATACTTAGTTTTGTTTCCCTGGGAACATCGTGCAACTTTATGTGTTGAAATTCACTGCAAAAGAAATGGTGGCTAAATGAAAGGTACATTAATTTAGAAAATCTATATAACACAGGTAGGATGAAATAAACCAAGCCGTCTGCCTCTGAATTAAACAATTTGTTAAGCAAGGATCTGCTTAAAGATTTCTATACTAAAATTACTGAGGCCAAGCTTGCTTTTAATTTTGAATTTATTACTTTAAGTTTATTTATTTGTGTTACTGTTTTAAGGTGAAGAATAGTTATTTTCTATTTGTAGCAATATGTTTGAATCTCAAATTTGTACAGTAAGATATTATTTTTACTATTTATAAGTAAATATGCATATACCCATGGAACGTTAAGTTATGACAATAGTATGTTCACTTGCCACAAATTAGAATCCAGGGGGAAATACTAAGACTTCGTAGTTAGAATAATTTGCTTAATTATGTAACTAATAAATAATTATAATTTATAAATTATAGTAATTTATATAATAACTAATATTTAATTAATTCATTCAAGCAAATAATTTATTTCATAATCCTTAAAAAAAGAGAGCTCTCATGGCCCAGAGATAAGGAGCTTATCTGCCTGCCTGAAAGTTTACAGTTTGAATCTGCCAGCCACTCTGCCAGGGGATGACGGTCGTCTCCCGTGTGATTTATGGCCTCTGAAAACCCGTTATTGACTCAGCCATGAGCTGGTTCCAACAAATCGGCACATTAAAAAAAAATAAACTAAAAAAAAGTCTTTAATTCAGGTAAATGAAAAGAAATGCCAATGACTACCAGTATGGCCCAGAGTTCTGGTCATGATAACATTTAAATATAAAACAAAAGGAAGGTGTCCTTGATTTTCCTTCGCATTGATTGATTGATTGGCCCTTTCCTTGCCATTTTAAGCAGATTGTGGGTGGGATGTGAATTTGTAATTTGTTGAGCTTGTGTTGGCTCTTTTCTGCCACTGGAGGGCGTCTCAGCCATTCCTATGCGTCTTCCGTGTCCCCATCCATATTTCTTTTGTTAGTTTGCTTCAGGATCATTTTTTTCTTACATTTGTTAAGCTCAAAGAATGTGCCAGCACATACGTATTCGCTGTTCTACTAAGGCAGTCTCTCAGTAAGGATTTTGAAACCGACCCGCGGGTTCATACGTGTTCTAAAGTGGAATCTGTGTGGATTAAAAGAGGAACAGGGGGACGAGAGATTGGGGCAAGACAAAAGATCTCTGATCAAGCCCCAAATTTATTCAATGAATTCTGCTCTAAATAGGCCGGGCTGCCAGGGAACCCAGCCCTAGGTTATCAGTTTACAAATGAGAGGGAGGGGCATGCCCCAAGGTGTTGATTTACAGGTGCTGATTTAAGAGGTAGGCATAATCCCAGAGATGGACAGGGGTGGCAGCTGCATGTCAAAAAGTGTTATCAGTGGCAGAGTTAAGATCTACTCAGAATGGCTTCCTACAGGATTTCATATTGTTCTCCAGTGTTCTAATCACTAATAAAAGTAGCAAGTCACCAGTGCACACTGTGTGCCCTGCATGATGCTGGACCCATAATCAGAATCCCCTCACTTCGTCCCCCTTCATAGTAGTTCCATGAGGTGACAGTGTTTTTGTCCACCACTTGCTAACACTGGTGGTGTTGCCTGGTGGATGAAGCACTGGACTGCTAACTGAAAGGGGGGTGGATCTGAATCCACCAGCTGCTTTGAGGGATAGCAATACAGCAGTGTGTGTCTGTAAAGATCTGCAGCCCTGGGGACCCTCAAGGCAACTCTGTCCTTCAAGGTCAACTCAGTGGTGGTTGTGTTAGGAGCTTGCTGAGGGGGAACAAGGGTTCTGAAGGGTTGATGACCTTGCTCAGAGTCACGCCGCAAATGGTGGAGTCGGGAGCTAGGATCCAGATTGCCTTCAGAGACTTTGTGCCCTTAATCCTTCTGTGCCAGCCTTCCTCCTGTGTAAGTGTCATGATGTCCGTCATTCCCTACTGTAGACAGATCAGGCCACCCTTGAACAGTGCTGCTGATCCTTTACTTTTATCTGTTTATCTTAGCTCCCTCTTTAGACTAAGCATCTGTCCACCGACTATGCTTCCTGTTCATAGGAAGTCCTTGGTTTTAATCCTAAGGGCTCTTGAGTTTGAAGAGATTTGTTAATGCAACAGATAGGATTGTGAATGTCCGTTCTGTATTTTCAGAATGAACTTCCGGAACCTGAACAAGACAATGGTGGCACTACAGAATCTGTTAAAGAGCAAGAAATGAAGTGGACTGACTTAGCCTTACAGTATCTCCACGAGAACGTGCCCCCCATCGGAAACTAGCACCTGGCTCCTCTTCATCAACAGTGGGGGACTTTTTTTAGAGTGGGGGGGTTAGTGCTTTAAAAAATATGTCTGCTAACTTCCTATCTCTTCACAATAAACCAACACTCAGAAGTGTATGCATATTTGCTTAGCTTGCAGCAGCTAAGTAGACCATGAAAATGTTCACCTAGATAAGCAGCTGATTGTGATTTCCCAAGAATGTAGACTGTTTGGCTCTTTGAGCATTAACGTCTCCCTTCAAATACCAGCTTGTATTTGAACATAATTGGTAAACATTTGCCCTTAGCTTTGTTTTCATCTTCCTGTCCTACTTTTATCACTTCCCAATGACTTACATGTATCTTGTGATGAAAGGTGATAAAGGTACAAGAGGCAGGCACAGAAAAAAGAAACCAGCTGTGCAAATTACTAACTTCTCATTTACCCGGCTTGGAGAAGTAGTTTGAATGGATGGGCTGTTGGGTTCTTACCATATAGATATTGGTATATTTAGATATCCCATTTATGAATTACCGTGATTCTTGTCCACATGTTTTAAAATATGGATGAGTTTACAGATTACAAGGGTATCTGAAGGAAAGTGTGTGAATGAACAAATTTTTTAAAATAATTTTTTAATAAAGGATATCTGACCTTTGTGCCCTTGGAAAGGATCTTTAACCAGCTGGACCACTCATTTTATCCAGTAACCATGTTTCTTATTTTCCAAAAACCCTTTCACGTATAACTACAACACCATACAATCAGTGATTAGTTAGGTGTTTGTATAAGAAAATGTAGTTTGAGGGAGCACTGGTGGCCTAGTGGCAAGAAGCAGCACTGCAATCCCAGAGATATGCAGTTCGAATCCACCAGATGCTCTGCTAGAGAAGGAGGGGCAATCTCCTCCTGTACGAGCCAGATCCGATTTGACAGTACACACATAAAAAATTTAAAAAATTAAAACAACAACCAGCAGTTGTAAAGAAAAAAGAATATGTAGTTTGAAAGACAGTTCACAGTGTGGGGGGAATAAGCATCATGTGACCAAAGTGTAAGAAGACACAGGCGAGGCAGGGTTACTATGGTAAAAGCTGGGATACGTGCAATTCAACAACAGTAGTAACAACCAGAGGAGTCTGTGAGAGTTTTCATAGATAGTTGTGTATACCACATAGATGTAAGACAGTATAAGAGAGTAAATATATAGGTATAATGAGTATTGTGTATGTGAGTCTGTGCTACCAATGTGTACGATACGGAACACGCAGGGGACACAGCAGAAAATCCAGAGACTTCGTGGAACTAAGATGACAGGTATGGAAAATCCAGATACCTCACAGAACTGAGTTGACTAGATCAACTGGTATAACATAACTCATAAAGATAATATCCATCCTAGCTTGATGGATAGCATCTAAGGCTTTAAACAGCTTGTGCACGGCCGTCTTTGATTCAGCTGCTGGTCTCTTCTCACCCGTAGCTAAGGAAACCAGAGACTCATCAATTAGCCCACACAAACCGTAGCCTGTTGTATTCTGAGGTAGAAGGATTGGATGGTGCCTGGCTACCACCACCACCACCACCACCTGTTCTGACCAGGAACGTAATAGTCCCAGAGAGAAGGGGAGAAAAGTAAAATGAAGCAAAAAAGACTCATTAGTGATAACTTGGACAAACACCTGAGACTATTGCCCTGAAACAACCTTTCACCTGAAGCTGAAGCGCCTCTGGGGGTCACCTATCAGCCAGTAATACATTAACCCTAACCCTCGTAATACATTAACCCTAACCCTCACGCCAGTGAGGGCTGGACACCTTAAAACAACCAAACACAAGACCAAACACAGCATGTGCCCAAAAGTAAAGATACAGAATAACTTGTGTGTGAAGTGTTGGATGGAAAACTAATGTGCTCTGAAAACTGTCTTAAAACACTTAAAGATAATTCACAAATAGAGTACAGATGCTCACACTTAGGCATAACTCATCAGCTCACCTTTACTTTTCTTGGTTTGAAGAGAGGGTCATGGTCACAATCACGGTGTAGTAAGTTTTTCAAATCTACTTCCTAGTTTGATAAGTAGCATCTGGGGTATTAAGAGCTAAGGAGCAGCCGTGCTCTGTGTACATCTGGAGCAAAAGACTAACAACCTAACAGCATGACTCTCCATGAACTACTACTGCCTTTGCTGTAGAGACCAGGGCAACTCGGCGGTGCCTGAGCACCACTACCAAATGCTCTTGTCAGGGAACCAGTAGTTGGATCTTGATAGAAAGGGAGAAATGTGTACAAAGAAACTCCAAATTCTTAAATTAGCCACATTTGCTGGACCCATTAAAACTGGAGAAGACCCTGAAACTATCCTTTGAAGTCACCCTTTAACTAAATAGCAGATCAACTCACAAAAGGAATCATGTTTATGCCAGGAAATTTGGAGGACAGCTACCTGGCTGACTGCCTGGAAGAGAACCAAATCTGTCCACATTCCTAAGAAAGGTGGTTCAACAAAATGTGGAAATTACAGACTAATATTAATATCCCAGGCAAGCAAAATACTGCTGAAGATAATGCGAAAGAGGCTAGAACAGTAGATACACAGAACTGCCAGATCTTCAAGCTGGATTTAAAACAGGCCTTGGCACCAGGAATACCACTGCTGATGTCAGAAAGCAAAGACTACCAAAATGTCGATTTGTGATTTATTGACTATGCAAAGGCATATGACTGTAATTCCTAACATATGGCTAATGTTGAGAAGAATGGGAATCCCAGCACTGAATCGTCCTCATGCAAAACCTGTACCTAGACCAAGAAGCTGTGTGTGAACAGAACATGGTTTATAGTTAAGAAAGATGTACATCAGCGTTGTATTCTTTCTCCACACCTATTTCATCTATATGCTGAGCAAATTATTCAATAAACTGTACTCTATGAAGAATGTGGCTTCAGGATTGGAGAACTCATCAATAACTTTCATTATGAAAATGACACACCTTGCTGAAAGTGAGGAGGACTTGAAGACTTGGAAAAGATAAAAAACTAGAGCCTTCAATATAGATTACATCTCAACATCAAGAAAACAAAAATTCTCACCACTGGACTGATAGGCAGCATCATGATAGTGTAGAAAAGATTGAAACTGTCAATGACTTCATCTTACTTGGATCCACAATCAACATACTTGGTACCAACAGTCAGAAAATCAGGGGATGTATTGCACTGAGAAAGTCTACAGTCAGGAACCTCTCCAAATGATTTAGGAGCAATGTTAGTTTGAGCACTAAGGTGCATCTGATTCAGACCTGCCTCCCTGCCTCCCCGCTCCCCCCCCCCCATTATTTGCTATATATCTGAGAGCTGGAAAATGCATAAGGATCACAGAAGAATTGGTGCCTTTGAGCTGTGATATTGGAGGAGAGTACTGAACATCCCATAGTCTGCCAAAAGAACAAACATCAATCTTGGAGAAAGTGCAGCTAGAGTTTCTCCTTGGAGGCAAAGATGGTAAAGCTTCGTCTCGCATACTTCGGGGCATGTTGCTAGGAGAGGCTATTCCTTTCAGAGGAACGTCATGCTTGGAAAGGTGGGGGGTTAAGGAAAGACCCTCATCCAGGTGGGTTGAGGTAGTGACTGCAGCAATGGGCTTGAGTGTATCAGAAAGTGTGGGGATGGCACAGGGTAGGACGGAGTTCAAAGCTGCTGGTAACGGGATCATAATGGGATCACTAAGTCCACTTGACTTAACAAGAAGAATAGTAGTATTACACTCTTTAGAAATTGTATGGACACTTCTACTTGAAAGCAAGATGGAAAAAGCCTAGGCCACAGTGACGGGAAGTTAAAAGGAAATAAAACAACTAAAAAAAATAATAATGAGAATATTGGCAGCATGGTACGCATGTATCCAGTGTCATTGAACATTATGGGTAGAAATTGTTAAATGAGGAGTTTTGCTGGTTTTCACCCAAAATACAATAACATTTTTTTTTACATGTTGGTGAGAAAAATAACAACAGAACTTGTGCTTTGAAAAGTGGGTCATCAGGGAGCTCTGATGGACTAGTGGCAAGAAGCTGCACTGCAATCCCAGAGGTATGTGGTTCAAATCCACCAGATTCTCTGCTGGAGAAGGAGGGACAATCTCCTCCTGTACTAGTCAGATCCAATATGACAGTACACACGGCAAGAAATAATTTTTTTAAAGAGAGAGAGAGGAGCTTCTGAGAATTTGCCTGAGGGAGGTCTTAGAACCAATCCCCTGTGGCTGGAGAAAGAGGGACAGTATCCTCCTGTACCAGTCAGATCCAATTTGACAGCACACACACAAAGAAATGATAAAATTTAAAGAAAAATATCATCCGAACTTCATACCTTTTCAATCTATATGCAGAACAGATATCAGGGACACCGGGCTCTATAAGGAGGAGTATATCATCAGACTTGGAAAAAGACTCAGCAGCAACCTTTTACACAGATGATGCAATCTTGCTTGCTGAAACGAGAGGACCTGAGGCATTTACAGACAGTCAAGAACTGCAACCTTCAATATGTATTGAAGCTCAACATCAAGAAAGATTCTCATCACTGGGCCTATTGGTAGCATCATGACAGACGAGATTAGATAGAAGAGATTGAGATATCATTAGGGAAATGCAAATCAAAACCATGGTGAAAAAAATATTTCACACTCATTGGAATGGTTATTAGGGAGCTCTGGTGGTCTAGTGGTAAGAAGCTGTGCTGCGATCCAGAAGACACACGGTTCAAATCCACTGGCTGCTCGGTGGGAGATAGCTGGGCAGTCTCCTCCTGTGCATGTAACTGCCTCTGAAAACCTACTGGAGGGTCAGCTGTGGGTGGGTTCCAATACAACAGTACAGACAACAGAATAATTAAACAAACTGAAAGTAAGTGCTGGTGAAAATGTGGAGAAACAAACTCTCAATCTATCACTGGTAAAAATGTAAAGTGCTGAAGCCAGTGCAGGAAAGGTTGGGGGTCCCTTCAAAAGTTA